CCATGTTGCAGGTAGGCAATCCAGAAGCCGATTATTATTATGATTATAATAATAGTGCCTTGCCAAGATATGCTTGGACCTGTTATGTGAGACCAAACCAGCTCTACTTCAAATCCAAACAAGTGTAGTCTTCAAAGTCTCCATACTAATTTTCCTGACCTTGATGAGTTCAACAATTTCATGAACAAAGTCTTTGAAGAATATACAGAGATGGACATTTTCAGAAAAAAGAGAGACATCATCAACAATTTCTCTTGGATCCATTGTAACTAGATGGCTGGTTTTAGCATGTTCCTTGAGAATTGTAGCATTGATCTTGCTGAACTTTGGACCTATGCGTTGCTCTCCTTCTGGCTTTAGAACTTGACATTAACAATACCAGCCACCACCCTCATAGGAACATCACCAAGAAAATCACTAGCACTACCAATACCAGGAGGTGGAGCCCGACAGCTACACAGCTGATTGGATGGCTAAAAATAGTCTTGAAATCGTCATCTTGTGTTTGAAATCCCTTCCAAGGGTATTTTGGCTTCTCATTCTGGCTGATGCTGATAGTATTGCACCCCTAGAATTACTAAATAAGTCATACCCTTTTGAGTCTTGAAGCATATATATCATGTAAGGCTTTTAGCACATCAGCACCCTGTCAATTTCAGAACATGGAAATTCAGAGTTCAATTTCGGATAATCAATATATGTGATTCAATTTGATTCAGCAAGCAGATTGGCGTCATTTTTACCATTAAAATTTTTTAACTTTGCCTCATTTTGCCACATCTTCTACAACTTTAGTTGAGGATAAGGATAATCCATTACTCCGGTATCTTTATTCCACCCATTTCCAGATTATGCACAAGGATATCTTTGCTCCCCAGAATAATTTTTACATTTACAGAAACAGAGTAGTACGAACGAAAACAAGAACACGTACAGATGTAAACAATTTCCTTTCATATATATTTACAATTTCTGTTAAGAGTTGTGGTGTCAAAGCTGCAATACAGTGGCGGTAAAGTGACAGCCACATGGAGCTGCACAAAATGGCAGCAAATCTTTTGAATATAATATTACTTTAAATGTTTGATAGATTTTCTTGTATTAGGTAGATATTAGGTGAGAAAAGTATCGTTTTATATTGTATTGTTTTTGCTATTTATAGCAGAATATTAATGAAAGAAAATGAGTTTTCACCTCACTAAAAGAGGGAACTCTGGGTGTCTCCTTTTCCGGGTGTCTTGCATTCTAGATGAAAGACAAATAGAAAAACTAAAAGCATCTTGCAATACAAGTTTCTATCATTTGGAGACAAAACTAAAAATAGAAATCCTGAGTTTAATTTTTCACTTACTTCTCTTTTGAATTCAGCCAAAGCAGCACCCGAGAAATCCTGGTCTAAGAACTTCTTAACAGCAACCTCCTGTGGTTCAAAACCCATTACCAGCCAGGAAGTTCGAAACTCCATTTTCATTTCATATCTTATTGATTCAAAATTGGTACAAGTAGAGAAATCGAGTCTTAAAAACACAACTCTTTTACAAGCTACTTGATACAAAGAAATAAAGGTATTGCCAATTATGATTCACTTATTAAAAATTCTATATTACTATCTAAACTATTGGAGTATTGTTCATGTAAAAGGTTCTACAGTGATGTTCATGTTAATCCATGTAGTCATATTATAAGCCATCACTGAGTCTCTAAAGCAACGTAAAAATGACAAACCAACATCTTAAAGAGAACATTTTAAAGAGCCAAGAACAAGTTCTCCAACTTTAAATAAAACAACAAATAAAAAGCAAATAAGGAAAGATGTGATCAACTTTACAAATTTCAAGGGAAAAATAGTATCTAAAACTAATCGTGTCATTCCAATGAGCATGATGGACCTCTCCATACGAACCTATTCACAAGAAAACGAAATTCACAAAGAATTAGAACTCCTAAAGAAATGAAGACAGTATATCTACATAGCAGTGCAACACCATCCATGGCTGCTCCTAATAACTCTAACCTTTAAAAGCAATAATGTAGTAAAGACTGAAAAAACTGAAAGTTTATGGACTAAAAATCCATCTCTGCAAAACCATGATTTCCAAACCTAATAGAGAATAGATCATATGCCTTATCCAGTCCAATTCTTTCACCAATATGCGAGTCTTCCCATGCAATTTCACAATCACCCACATCTACGTCATCAAAGAGTTGATCAACCCTTTCTGTTATCCAATCAACTAGTGACCTAGGACTTTCAGGATTCTTCAATTTCAGATTTTTTCCCGCACATCTATCAGTGTGGACTTTCTGTGATCATGTAAACCCACTTCATTACTTTCCTGATCTTTAACCATATTCACTGTGTTATTTTGCACATCCTGCCATCCATTGGATTTTCTTCATTAAAGTTGGTGCTCACATCCTGAACCAGTGGTGCGTTATTGAACTGACCAGTAGTAGAAGTCATAGATTGTCCCATGTCAGAGAAAGGATCCCTAGATTTATTATCATTATTGGGGAGATTGGAATCACCCGATAACTTGAAACCATAACGATGGACCTTTTCAGATTTTGTTGAGCTGGTTGAAGCTGATGCTGATTGATGGAACTCATAAGGCTTGTGATTGATTTAGGGAAATAGACCATCCACATAATTATACTCCTTTTTCTTAGGGATCTCATTGTAAGCAGGCCGATTCTTCCACAGTGGGACAGGGGGGCAACCAGTGACAACATTCATTTTTTGTCTCTGAAGCTCATCAACCTTGCTTTCAGTAGATTTGTTCTGCAGGTAAGTTTTACCTGTCCCTTTTATCTGGAAAGGATTAAGATCTGAAAAAAGATATTTAAAGTCATCCCTACTACTGTGACCGTATGGAACCACATTGAGGTTCATTCTTGCACTGTCAACCGTAAAATTGGTCCCATGACTCCCTTTATAAAGTGAAGCTCCAATTGCAGTAGAAGGAAGACGATCTAACTGATTAGGGGACATTTTGTTATATATTATGGAAGTGCCAACAGCAGAGTCACCACTTGGACCTGAGAATGAAGATAGGTATTCTGTGTTTTTTGAACTTGATCCCCTATCTGAGGCAAAACTGCCATTAATTGCAGAACTTTGGCTACTGCCTTCAACATTTAATTTGGCTCTCAGGTAAACAATTTCAACATCATCAGAAGACTGAATAGTCGGGATTTTGCTTAGTGATGGATTATATGACTTCAAAGCAGTATCCTTTGCACTGAAAATATCAGCAGGTATAAGTGTCCCAGGAGCTGCCGTGAGATCAACCAAAAACTCCGTGAAGGCAATGAAACAAAACATCAGAACTGGAGGTCAGAGATTGATTAAAAAGTGAGCACAAACTACTACCTTTCATCCTCCAGCTTTACAATGTTTACAGCATCATCCTCAACACCAGTGTAATGACTACCTTTTACAAGTCTACAAGTTAACTTTATATTATCAGCCAATACCTAAATACCAGGGCACCAAGAAAATAAATATACAGCTGCTGGATAAATAGAAAGCTTAGCCTACATTTTGATCTAATATTTATTAGCTCAAAGAAAGAGGCATGAAATTTTATTTTTCAGAAAGTTTTTAGTAGCATCGTTTAAATGTAAAGAATAACAGTGTTAAAGAAGCAAACTTAATTTTAACAAACAATATCTGATGAAATGGAAACTAAGCCTTTCAAATTGTTGCTATACAATGGATTACACCTCAGTAATCAAAACAATCAACAAAAAGTTCAAATTATGAGGTTTTAGAAGGACAGCTGTGGAGACAGTGAGAAAGGGCATAACTTCTACCAATAATATATCTCAAAAAATTCCTTCCTTTCATTTCTAATATTTCTCATTCCAAAAAGAAATAGTTCTTCTTTGATAATATTAAAATCTGCTCTGAAGCTCCATCAACCAATGTGATCAGGGATTCTCATAATACTTAAATCTTACCAAAAAAAAAAAAAAGAAAAGAAAAAAAAGGAAGAAGAAGGATCTTCCTCAAGATACAAACATGACTCTCAAAAAGTAGACACAGCCATATCTTCCCCTTTTCATGTTATATGAACTCACATTTAATAAGAGGTGTAGAAATAGTAAATGTATTAAAGTAAGAGAAAGTTGGCCAGTGGAGACTAGCACCACAAGTTTAAGTTTCATAACTAACCTCGAAAGTCAACAAAAAACAAAATAACTAACCTTGAAAAGTAAACCACAATGCCGAGATAATCGTATATTAATGGACCCAATAGGCAACAAACTTGTATGAAGAGATGTTCTCAATTCTGTGCTCCTTTCCATCCACCTAACAGAAGTCAAGCCAAATAGAATAACTACAGAACAGTACAGCATAGCAATATATGTAAACAAATTACAGTTAAGCATTAATATGAAGAAACAATGTATAAGAAACTTTCAAATCTCAATATACCTGAAAGACATTCCGGCATGGAGAATATATATTTTAAACTGGCAAAAAAATCAGATATTTGATTGCATTCATAAATAGAAAATTTTCTACATGTTAAATTGTTTAAAAGTAAACTCAATTTGGCAACGACTGCCGTTTTAGTCAATATTATCACTTCAACATAATATAAACCACATAAACAAAATTTTCAGATTTTAAATCACATTTCTATCACAAAATCAACTACTTACCTGATTGAATAAAGCCTCACAAAGTAGAAAACAAAAGAACAGTACACAGGAGATACCCTTTCCCCAAATTAAGCAAGGATCAAGAATCCAGTGTATGTAATCAAGAAATGTAACCATTCCAACTCAGCTACTAAAATTGAGAATGCAGGACTCAAATAATTAAGATGATCATAATTTTCTTAACTACAAATTATGCAAGTCCAAAATGGTAGCAATGAAATTTGTTGGCCAACAATATATAATCTAAAACTAGATATAAAATACATTTGAGTTGTTAAGAACCAAACTCCAAGCTTTAACTACCAAAACACAATTACTAATCCTTAGTTCAACCTCATCCACTACAATTTCATAGCATGAAAGACTCCATGATGCTGCAATTCATCATTTTTACCTAATATGAGAGTAAATTGCATTAACCCTAACAATCCAAAACCAACCAGCAGCAACTGCCAACACTAATCAGCAATCCAAACCTAATTCATGCACATTCAATGCTATTGAATTCAATTAAAATTAATGGTTCAGCATTAAGTGTTCCAAAACATTAATTACCGTCATCCAAAAATGGATCACTGCCAGATATCAGAAGAGCAAGGATTAAGTACCATAACCCAAGTAATCACTTCCTTAAATCATAGCCCTTTTCTCCAACTCATGCTCTCTCCACTAGATTAACTCACAAAAAAAGCAAGATGCTAGAATACTCAAGGTTACAGTTTTCTTCACCAATATATATGAATGGCCATACTTACACAATTCAATGGTAACTTGTTCTAATTACCAGAAATTCAAAATCGCTTCTAGTCACAGACCAAAAGCCCCTAATTTAAGTAAGTTCATTCACAACAATCCATCCACCAGCACCAACAGTACAAAACCCACTCCAACTTGAATCCACCAGAAACCAATTCGACCTCAAAATGGATAAGGTGAAAGCTGACAAACACTCACCCAATAATATCTCGATAAATCATCTGCGGGCAGTTCCTCCTTATCCCTGCCTGTATCCATCTGACGATGGCCGCCCAAGCTCAGCAGAGTCGCCGCGCGGATCAGATCCTTCTCGGGATCCTCCGAATTTGACGTGCTGATCGCTAGAGCTAACTGAACCTGGAACTCCTCCTCCGACAACATGTAATCGGTACTATTACTTGCCGACACAGTTGACGCTGCTGTAGTATTCCCAGAGCTCGTCGGAACAGTAGCCGGGGCAGGCGATGACGTGGAGGGACTCGTCGGAGAGTTTCCGGACATGGTAC